GGCGTTTCCCACCTAGTAGAACGTATAGCCGACACTAGCTTCATTCAAGTCGGCTTCATGCGAGTCGGGTCTCGCTGAGCGCCGCAATATCGATATTGTAGCGCGCGGGTTCCATCGCGACCAAAGCAGTGCGTCGCTCAGGGTGATCGCTCGAGTTCCGGTAAAATAGCGGGCGCACGTTCCAGCACCCGATGTTGTGCACTTTGTGTGCAAGCACACGATTGTATTTGTGCGCAATCGCACGCGTGATAGTAGTTGTGCTTCGAAGGTTGGCTTGAAGGACTCCACCCGTAGCCATCGTTTCAATGGCCTGACCCAAAAGGCAGTGGATGATCTGGAGGTCTGCTTGAAGCACTACCCCCGTAGCATTTGACTCGATGGCCTGATCCACAAGGCAGTGAGGAGCAGATCCAGTTCGGGAGTGTGATTGCGGAGACCTATTGGGATCTCCTTGGGGTCCATCACACATAGCGTTTGAAGATCGGGAACTATTTATGTGTTTTGCGACCGTAGTAGAATACGCACCTGTGACCACGGCCAGACGGATTTGCACCTATTTGACCAGGGGCTGCCTGACTTGATGCTGACAGTAGCGAACCACTGAGCACCCGGAGGTGCTCTCCCACCGTCAGAGACAATGCGTAGCGCCCGTGCTCTACGCCAACCTGGCTGTGATCTTATAACCCGTAGACTTGTCGTCTCCCATGGCGAGGTTTATGGAAAGAGGGCCGTCGGCCACTTCCTAACCACTGAAGAGGATGGGGTTTGAACTAGGATACCGGCAGGGCGCCCACACCTATAGAAGAAAGATTCCGGTCTTCAGCCAAAGCCTTCGATTAGATGTACACCCGAAAGGCAGCGGGTCTAGCACGTGGTCAGTTCACTTACTGCTGCGGATCGATAAGTTCCAGAGACTGTGAAGAGATCCAATGTCCATGCTGACTATTAGATTTACCACATGCGGATTTGCCAGCTACTAGTAAGGTCTGGTGAACATGTGACTAGTGATCATCAATTGTATTACTAAGCGCTTGCTTAACCCGCAAGTCAGCGCACTTTGATAGGCATCCAGAACAGCTGGCTCCGCCAGTTGGCTGGTGTCATTGCAGTCACAACGTCGTCGTGGGTGTCCGCCAAAGCGCATCCGCAGGTCAGCACATACAAGTGCATGGTCGGTGTCTACGCATGTGCTCCAAATCGAGAGACAGTTCTAGACGGAGCCTCTCCAGCGGTAACTGATCTCATTGTGATCGATTGGCGTCCAAGGCTGGTGGGCGCCATGTCACGCTCCGGCGAGTGTTGTGTCGGAGGTTTGTGCACACAAGAAATAAGCGGGCATCTTCACACAAGTGAAGTAGTCTCCCACCGTCATCATTACGGGAGCGTACACTATGTTGGTCGCCCAGATGCAACTCATCAGTGGACAATTTGCAAAATTGAGCGTTCATATCCCCTGCCAGCACTACAGTGTCCGTGCTTCTTCTGTGCTGAAGGATTTCGTTCAATTGACAATGGGAGTCGTTTTTTTACCAAATCATCGCTACCGTTTACGAGCGGGTAGGCAGCGATGACGAACAGATAACTATTCGTCCCGCGCAACTTCGAAGCAATCGGGACCGCACACATCCGGCTACTGATTAGGATCCAATCAACCAGAGCAACTTCAGCCCGGGGACTCAGAGCAATACCAACACCGGCTTGGTCGGCGCTCGAAGCTGCATAGTCACCGGATAAGCCAAACGAGAAATCATTGCTAGTGTCACCTGAACGAGATCGCAAAGCGAGCACAGAGCTCGACTCATGCAGGCGGGTTTCCGATAAGCAGCAGATATCGTTCGAGAGGGTCTCTATTGTTGAATAAGTCCTGCGTGTTGACCTATCTGTAACCGTATGCGTACATCGAGGCATGCCGAACCGAGGGAAATTAGTAGGCTCCGAATAAAAGCCGATGAACTTGGGTTGACCGCTTGGTGGGGGGTGGGCTTCTCAACAGGGCAGGAGTGAGGCTCCGCGTTTGCATGCGAGTTGAAACTAGGAGATAAACGCCTATCAAAGCAACGTGAGATCTTCTCATTACACATTTTCGCTTCCATAATATTAACATTCCACAATAATGAAATTTCGAGTGATGAAATATGTTGCTATTTGCTGCCGGGATACTTTGAGCTGATAATTAGTTTCTTCCTTTGTTCTTCATTTGCACATTTTTGAAAGTTTCTGGGTTGAATACACAGAGTTGACGCTAAGTTACCACAAATTTGCAGGGCGCGACATATTTTTGACTGGTTCCCACTCAGATACCATTGTGGAGTTCGCATAGTTCAGCGCGACTTGAGCTATTTTTGCCGGAGCTCACCTTAGCCATACTTTCGTCTGCGGTGACTCATACTGCGCAGATAACAACTCAGGCCAGTGTTCAGGACTCAGCTGTACCTACCTCCTCAGGCCGCAGTGAACCAACTGATCTCTCCTAGTTTCACTACCGTAACTACCGTACTGAGCTCAATTGAGTTTCCCTCAGGACTACGTGGCAACTCATGTGCATTGCCAACATTCACCTCCCTCCATAGTTTACGTATTACGCTGCTACACAATTGAGCGTGAACGGCCTGAATGGCGTTTGGTTGAGCCAGTAAACGAACATTCGTTATTGACCAGTCTTCCTCTTCTGGGTCACAGTGCAATCATGCCAGGTTACGCGTTTCGTCCCGTCTCAGTTCCCGTGTACGATGTCCAGCGGCTAGGCCATTTATGCCGCGCTAATCCGAATTCCATTGGCTACTCTGCGCTTGGGGCATTATTCGTGAAGAGCGATTCGTCCGCTCCGACTACGAATAGAAAAAGGAATCGTGGTAACAGATACTACAGTACAATGAAACAATGGTTTTATACGGGTAAAAAGCTAAAGCCTAACAGGTCCAGTAGGATGGCCATGGTGAATATAATAAAATAGGGAAAATGTGTCAGCAAAATTAAGTTCACACAGGTGGACTCACGACAGCATAAAGTGTAAATCCACTGTAAGGAAATAAAGAATGGCGACACTTGTAAAATCTTGTCACGTCCTGGTGAATACGTGCAGGAGATGAAAAAAGATGGAACGTGTTATGGGAGTTGACCGGCAGTGCAATGACAGAAACTTGTAATTGGTCATGGGAAATGAGTCACTTGAGATGATGGAGAGAAATGAGTGCAACGTCAGCTCTGTCTTTGAACTCCACAAGCGTGTGAGCGCAGATGACGGATACCGGTAGGACATTCCACGCCTGCCAAACACCTACGGAAAAGATATTCCTACCGCATTCCAAACGACTGTAATGCTCTGCCAGCCTGAGACGGTGGCCTCTCAGATTTGAATGAGATTTTGACTGAGCTCTAGCAAGTGGCGGCATATGTGGTTGGCATCCCTCAAAATCTGGTAAGTCAACTAAGCTGATCCAGCTTGATCACGATTCATAGACGCCATCGGGTTACACTGTACAGCACGTCTCGTCGACTATCCGATAGTGTAATGTAAAATATGACTTTTGATTAAGGGATGTCACTACAAACTTCGCCAACATTTACTACGTTGCATGAAGGCCCAAGAAATTTGAAAACCATTACGGCTTTGACAAAAGTTTACTCCGGCTTCCAAGCACGTGGTGGACGCTAGCTGAGAAAAACTGCCGTTCAGTGCGGGTGACACAGTATAAGCTTGATAACTAAGTTCTGCCTCATTCGAATTGTTCCGGCAGATACCGGGTGAAATTTCATATTACCTCCATCGGAACTGAGAACTCGGTGCAAGTCACAAAATCCTCCTATACGGTAATAGCTCGCAGAATTTCAAGGAAGCAAGCTTAGTCTTGTAGAATTTCTAACACTATTCTGTAACCTTCGTTATTTACTCATAAGATTTCTATGCGAATGCGTGTTTTAACGTCCAGCTTAAGAATGTTTCAATGAGCCACACAAAATCGGGCTCCCACCTATGTGGCCACCCACTGAGGCTCACACATCAGCACAGTCGGCTGAAGTGCAGACGACACTACTTCGCTTTGCGAATCTGCCGACCGTGGAATGCTCTGCCTGCCGATTTAGTCTTGGCATCCACTGTGGCGGACTTTAAGACCCGCCTGGACTGTCATCTGGCCGAGTTACACCGCGATATTCCCTAATATAACTACCTTCTACTGGATGAAATTTCTTTCTTTTTTTCTTCTACCTACTTCCTTTCCAAAGCCGTTTCGGAGGGTGTGGTGGGATGTCACGCTTTGAGCTGGCGTGCATTCTGTTTAAATGCCGCATAAGCCCGATGAAGATACGGCTAACACGCGAGTCCAACCCGCTATAAGGTTGCTTAGCCTTTCATTAGACCCGACCCGAACTCTTTTTACCCTATGGGTCATGTAAAGCTCGAGCTTTTATTCCCATTAAATACAATGTTAAGCTAAAGACCAAGCTGTAAATTTACTTTTGGCAATACCAGCATGAGAGATAGAAACCAACTACAAGTACCCGGAGCCTATTACTTATATGGATTTTATTCACGGTTAGTGAACTAGGAACCCTAGCTTAAACCAACAGTAAATTTAAGAAAACCTAAAATCCTATGACCACGCGTAATGAACGGATGATTAGGTGGATAGCATCCGGTTACAATTGTCTCACACTTTAGCCAAGACGTTCATTGATGTACGACGCACAAGTTGGATCGCATTGTACAAACTATCTCCACTTACATATTTCACCACTTCTGACAGCCACACACTAAACCTGATGACAGGTGTCGAATAATGAGTGTGCCTCAACGTACTACTGCACCCCAACTGCACATATACAAACCATCGATTTTAGTCAGTTGTTCTGACGCGGCTATTCAGACGCATACCTGTCACCAATGTGCCAATGTTAAATAAGTGTCCCGCATAAAGATTCGAGACTTAAAGATCTCTACTTTCATTTGTGTCTCGTTTTTATGTGTTGTATAACTGAATACGGCCGTCACTTTCTTCCAGGTGTACACCAATCAACCAACCGCGGAGTACTTCAATCAGTTCAACACTACTTCGCGATGATCTTCGCTGAAATGAAATGCGATAGTCGATCCACGGTTATGGTTTCTATACAGTTTCGGAATTCACAAAGAACAATAAGAGACTGGACTATATACCTACCTAATTATTCAGATAAAGAAGCGATTGCGCATCTTTCAAGACATTGTTTACACACACATACATTTCAGCTGAAAACAGCGGTATGTACCTCGCCGATGCCAAGACATTCTGGGGTTGCTGTAAACGGTAACAATCCTTTTGTTAGATATCAAAATCGCTATTCGTGTACTTTATTTGGAAACTATCTAGGATATCCTTTTTCTCGATTTCCGAAATACAGCACAGGGACCCTTCAATCATGCCCTAGTTGATGAGCGATAAGTTGGATTTAACAACAATGGGCATGTTTTAGTGAGCCACCACTTCCTCGTTAAGAAGGTTAGTGTGAAATACTAAAGAAAAGAAAGCTGCTGATTCAATAGGCGTAGAATCGTTAAGGTAATCGGTTTGAAACAGTGAACGCGAGACGCGAGGGCACTTGTGAACATCATTACATCATATCAAAAGCTTAGCTACGCTGTACAGAAGAAAACAGTCACTTCTTTTCAAAGTAGTGGCGTTATTTGGTAAATTGTAACGTGTATCTTACCGGTTCGATCAAGAAGCATAGGGTGCAGGGGCCAACTGCTGATGCATCACTTATATTGCTGCATTTCGGAGTAACTACCTATCATATGCGGTTCTAGATATCTCCGCAAAAATGCCTTAAGGAAAGAAATTCTAATGACACGCAACAGTATGTCTTAGGCGTGAACTGAGACTTAAATAGAAACGGCCCCATGGATTGAGTAGCTGTCAAGAAGCTACGCGAGGTTGCAAGTCTATTCAAATTATTAGAGAAACAAGGGACAAGCGCAAGTCATTTAGAGATTGCACCTTAATTTTGTACGATTGATAACAGTCATGTTGGGAGAAATTGTCCACACACTATAACCCTAATGAACTTGGATATTAAACCATACCTTGGCCACTACCTAGCAGAATGGCCATTGAGGCTGCAGCTGGAGAACTGAGCATGGTTTTTAAGCGAGATCTGTTTGGAATAGATTTTATTTAGGACGGGAATTTAGGCACATATTTTCATCTAATATGTATATGTGAAGGAAAGTGATACATTGCATTGCTGCCTGCATGAGAAACCTAATACCCACATACTGTCTGGAATGACATGCGCCGAACACAAAAAGTAATACCAACTCTACTGTGGACGAGTAGGTGGACTTCAAAGTCAATAGATCAGTAGATTTATCACGTGTAGAAAATCAAAGCTTGACAATTCTTGCGGATAAAGAATGAACACATGATGTGAATGTGTCAACAAAAGCAATGGTAACGCAATAGGTGGACTCATCGGAGTTTCACTTGCGCACATAGTTTAGTTTTGTCATTATGTGTCGCAATAACCCTAGCTAAGTCTTGTAGTGGACGTGGAGTAATGTTTCATCAAGTTGAGTCTTGAATTCAATCAATGTAGAAACGAAGATGACGGAAATTGATTGAGCGTTCCACCACTGGAAAAGTCAAAGTGAGGAAAGAATGCCAGCAGCATTCCAGCCGGCTGTACTTCGTGGTTAACTGCATGTGATGACCTCGGAATGAGGTACTATGACTTAATTGCAATAAGTGTCGACATGCGTTGTCTGGATCCTTTAAGAGCTGAAAGACTGAAATAAGATCACCGCCAGGTGACGGTACTGACCACCGAAAACTCTTAGGGTCTGTAGTCTATGCTGCCAAGCGAGATGAGTCAGACCCTTAACATTTGTTATTGCTGTACTTTGTGAAGTCGCAAGAGCAGCAAGATCATGCTTTTGCCAGTGGTGCCAGATCTGGATGGCATATTCAACATGTGGCCTCACGTAAGCGTTGAGCATTTGTGAAAAGATGGTGGGAGCAAATCGGCCAAACACTCTTTGCAATAGTCCTAACTGCTGATTGGCTTTCCTTACTGCCTTTTCGGCCTGTTTTGAGCAACCGAGATCAGCCTGCACGAGCACTCCAAGCTTATTTTCACGGCAGACGCGTCGCAAAAGATGTTTCATAGCCGGTATTCGTAAGTTCTCTGGTGGCGTACGCTCAGTCCTCGACATTTGGCGGCGTTGAACTCCAGCATGTTTTGAAGTGATCAATGCTGAGCTCTCTTGAGATAACCTTGTAGTGTTATGTGGTCTCTTACCGTCCTGATAGTCCGTCAGATTTCGTGGTGGTCCGGGAAGAGTAAAACGTTTGAATCCATCACTCCCACGAACTCGTCGATGAAGACTAGGAAAAGATTTGGTCCTATAATCCAGGCTTGTGGGACGCCACATTGCACCTCTTTCGGGTCAAATAAGGTGTTACGAACTCTCATATTTAGGCGATGTTGAATGCACGTATCCAACCCAGGACGGGGTCACCGATTCCACAGTCGTATGGGTGGCGGCAATCAAGGGCAGAGCTGCGATTTGTACGAGGATCGAAGAAAGGTAATGGAAGCGCAAGCACGAGAATTTACCCAGTGCACGCCGATGAGGCACCCGTACACAGGAGAGGCCGATTGCTATCATGTAGCAAAACAAGAATAATTCATGCTACTTTCGCCAGACTGATCCTGTGTTCAAGTACTAATATTCCATAGGCAAGATAGTTAACAAAAACAGCTGATTTACATCAATTCACTAGCAGACGACGTGGTTCACGTAAGACTCCGCTCATGTTAACGATACGATGTTGTACATAAAGGGAGAAGTACTGTAGCACTCAGCGGTGAGTCGAAGTGTGGCGCAATTTCGATCTTTATCTACCCCAATCCTCAGTTTACTTTACTGGTCTACATACCTGTACTTTGTCAATGCTTTTAAGCCTGTTGCTTGCCAAGTATAATGAACAGTGGTAACGAGATGAACGAATCTTTTCATGGAAAGCAGCAACACCCTACTTTCATTAACCCGTGGCTACTGCCACAACTTGGGTTGCTGAATGAACAATGATTTATGTCGGGTAAAAAAGCAGTTGCTTGACAAGTCCCGCAGGATGGTGGGGGTAAAACTATAATTATCAAACGGTAGGTGAGTTATCTGTTTGAGCGTTTATCTAGCAGATACTCTGCGGAATAATAGTAGTGTAAGTGGGAATCGAATGTGAACGACGTGGCAACATGGGGACAGTTATAGTTGTTGTACTCCGTGAGAAAAGTAAAAACAAGAATACTCATTTCTGTCCCGCATCCTCAGATTTACGTAACATGCTAATCCGGTTTGGAGGGATATATATATATATATATATATATATATATACCAATTGACGTGGAGCCGTCAGCAACCATGGGGCTCAAAAGGAGGTACACAAATAGTAAAAGAAAACACAACACAACACATCAAAGTCTATGATTTCGTCGGACGGCGAGATACTACCCGGTTGCTCAAGCCGAAGTAGGGTGTTGATTTAGGGGACACCACCCGAGCATTTGGCTGATTAACCTTCCCGCAAGGCGGCGGAGCGAATTCAGGGATTCGCGCCCATTGGGAACCGGTGACTGATTGCTCAGTTCACACGCCTTTCGTTTGTTCCTTTGTAAAACAGGGGCCAATGCTCCCCAGAATCACAGCATAAACTTGCTGAAATACAATGCTTCGCCAGAATGAAGCAAGGGACAGTGACTTTATTTAGTAGCGAGTCACGTCCGCCACATCACGGTGTTGTTATAAGGACATTTGTGGCTTTTATAGTGAGAACGCTTGCCAGGCGAAAACCCACCACGTCCTGGAACATTGCGGCCGAACAATTTGCTAGAGCGGGAAAATCCCGAACCACCCAGCTGGCATCACGAGCAGGTTGTTCGGCAAGCCAACAGAGTTTAGCAATGAAGTGATGGGGGCCAAGGACAACATCCAATCGTTTTTGAAAATATCCATAGTGAAGGAGGAAACAACGAAGCTTGGGAGAGAGTTCCAGCGTTGGCGAATCAAGAAGAGAAAAAAATAATTCCTCCGGCATTTTCAGACGGCTATATTATGCACACGATTTCTGAGTGTTACCCACGAGATTCGTGTTATGGCTGAGTTTCAGCAAGTGACGGCACACGTGATTAATGTCACTCAGTATTTGGTAGACTAATATGAGATGGCCGCGCAGCCTTCAGTAGCGGCCACTGAATACTCCCAGTGACTTCAGCCTTTGATGGTAGGACAGATTTCGTAGGCCCTTGACGTTCTTTGAGGCCTTCCATTGTGGTTTCCCTAGCACTTATAAGTCCCGCTTCAACCAAGGTTGCCAAGCTTAGATAGCGTATTCAACGTGAGGGCGCACGTAAGAATTGTGCAGCATGAGGAAGATGGATGGGTCGAACCTTCCGAATGCTCTCCACAACAAGCCGACGTGCTGGTTTGATCTTTACGCAGCTGCCTCTGACTGTTTTGAGCAGTTAAGGTCACTTTGAATGAGATCACCAAAGTCGCGTCCTTGGGAAGTGGTTTGCAATACATGTGACCCTAGCCTATACATGTAGCCATGTCTATGGCACAACTGAACAGCGTGACATTTTTTCACATTGATCGGTAGGGTATTAAAAATTGACCACGTTGAAATCGTGTTGAGGTCACACTGGAGCTTTTCGTGGTCGTTCGGTTCTTTGATCGCTCACCATAACTTGATGTCATCCGCGAAGAATAGGAAATCGAAAGTAATTTCCTTCGCCAGATCGTTTATGAAAAGCAAGAATAGACGGAGCCTGAACACCGAGCCTTGTGGTACACCCCATTCCATATCATTTGCGTCGAACAGAGATTCTCGTACTCTCACTTCCAACCGGCCTTCATGCAGGAAATTGCCTATCCAATGCAGCAGTGTGTCACCAATGCCATAGAGTTGAAGTTTATGGAGGAGAATTTGGTGGTCTAAGCGATCAAACGCTTTTGAGAAGTCCAAGTAAATGACATCAACTCCTGCTCCACCATCAACTGCTTCAGTCCAGCTGTTGCGTGCAATTAACAAGTTCGTAGTGCATGAGCAGTTTTGTCACAAGCCATCTTGCTCTGGTTCTATCATGTTGTTATTTTCCAGATACTGCATCAGTGATGATAGACTCCATAACCTTGGAAAGCAAAGGGAGTATCGTTCTACGACGGTAATTGGTTGGATCAGTGCGGCTAACGCCCTTATGAATAGGAGTGATTACCCCACGCTTCCATATTGTTGGAATATGATTCTCCTTCATACACCTCGGATAGAATATAGCTACAGGTTCCGCCAGATTACTGGCTGCTGCCTGTAAAGCCTTCAGTCGAATGGTGTTGACACCAGCAGCGTTATGGATA